CCATTAAAGAGCCTAAATCCACTGCGTGAAAGAAAAAGCAGTGTATTGAAAATGAAGAGGCGCAGGCTCGTAGAAATGGTAATTGCAATGCATTACCCCACTCGCTAGAATAGAGAGGAGAGGGATGCAGAAACAAAGGGAAACGCCATTTTAGACGGAAACGTCCCCCATCCACTGAAAAACCGGGTGATTCTCGTATCTGCCGTCGTTTTGGAGCTTCACCGCGGCTCCTCAGGCACATCACCATATTTCGGGTCCCTCTATCTATCTGGCCACCGACAGGAACACGACCCCTATTGTCCTTAAGCACCGCGCAACGAACAAACGATGTGGCTCCGGAATCCACCGTCCTCTTTATCCTTCTTATTGATTATGCAACCGTCGACATAAAACTGCGCTGTCCACAGTGGTGCGCGGGGTTTGCTGATATTTTTCTATCGCCTTTTTCTTTTCTTTTTTTTTGTTGTTGTGTGTGTTCGCTCTCTTCCTAAAGTGGTTAATTCCCTAAAGCCCGCATTAACAATGGCAAGTGCAACGTGCATGGGGAAAGCGTACAGGACCAACATCTCTCTGCAGACACAAAATGATCATTATTCTCCCCCCGAAACTTTTGAAATGCATATTCCACTAACGATTGAAGCACACAGGAAAAAAAACACACACATTCAGCTCATCAATAATTGATCAAAGGCTCGAGCATAAAGCAAACGCAAGCGTAAGATACTCACCATGATATGGTCCACGCCATATGGTGGATCCCAGCACTCTGTGCTCTGCTAATATTTATCCGCGCTTCTTGCAGGTTTTTTTTTTTTTTCTCAACTTCATTTCTAGCATTATTACTTCACTGCAGATCTTTTACATCACGGAGGCAGTCGCTTGTATTCCCGGTTCCTTTTCAGTGTAGCGGCGGACAAGCAAAGACTCCGTTCGGCGAGAGGCTGATACTACCAATGAGAGCGATGCTGTAGCCTCTGCAAAGCATGGCTGCGCTTTCTCGCTTTTTTTCAAAAGAGGGCAGGTCGTTCTGTGCATTACAATAAAATCTCTCTCTCTCTCTCTCTCTCTCTCTCTCTCTCTCTCTGTCATGCACACGCGCGCACACTTTTATACATACAAATGCGCGCTCGCTCCCCACTGACACGCAAATATATCCTATGCGCGCTCTCGATAAATCCTATACGTCCAGTGTTTTATGTTATTATTGCTGATTATTTGTGTTATTTTCCTGCATGTTGCGGCTGTCTTTTCTCGCCGTGTGCAGTCTAGTTCTGTGCTGTGGGCCTTTTGTAGTTTTTTTTTTTTATATGTGCAGCAATAACTATTCTATAATCTAGTGTAGCTGTACATTAGGAGTGTGTGCAGTCGGATCGTCGCCTTGCCGGCCACAATTAATCATGTTTAATGCCGTTTGTCTTGAGAGGTCCATTAGTGCGTTGCAGTTTCACGTATCAGGCCGCTGGATTGCAAGTCAATTTCTATAGGCTGTGTTTGTTCAATTGTAGTTGAGCCTTCGCAGACAAACTGAGGGCTGTTTTACACCAAGAATTAGGAGAAAAAATGTGCTTCTGTTCTGTCTGCAATGTGTTACAGGCCTATAATGCAAAGGATTTCTCCCTGTTTTACTGTTAAGGGCCAGTAGAGGAATAACTTCTAATTTTTTGCCTTTCTTTTCGAACATTTTGGCTCTTTATGTTCCACAAATTTTAACATTCAGAAGGACAGAGGCTCTGTAGTTTAGATTCAACACTGAGGCAGTAATTGATTGAAGCAAGTGGCAGTCCTGCACTGCTCGTTTGTATCCCCTTCACTTCCTGCAGTGATTGACTCCCAGGCAAAGACCCAATCGAAACCCGGGCCCCATGCATGATGTCATTTGAGTAACCTCACTAACCCTGTAGCCAAGGCGGAACACACAGGCCTGCTAATGCCTACTTACCTCCAACCTATTAATATACATCTGATTCCAGCCTTAGAAATAGCCCGTAGGTGTTATCCACTGTCTGATTCTTCGAGTTTCTCCTCTTCTGTCATCCCATCCATTCTCTCTTTCACAGTTTCACTCCGTTACTGTTGTATTGTTTCACTCTGTTACAGTGTTGGCCTTTGACGGCTGCAAGAACCCAGTCAGTGCAATGATGCAACGCTGGCGTGTGATGCAACACGGGTGAACACACCACTAACAGCGTTAACGTTTTGTCAACATTTTTATTCTTTATTTGAAGGGTTAGAGGGAGAGTCTGTCGGGACTTGCATCAGGCTTCATATAGAGGGAAGTTTGAAAGCTGCTTTCTCTCAGGCAGAGGGGGGGTAAAGCTATTGTTCCCGCTGAAACAATGGGAGCTGCGGGGCGACATGCAGCGGTGCGCACATGAATGGCAGGGCTCTGGGATGTGTGTGGGTCAGTGGCCCGGGGTCTCCGTCCAAAAGCCCCTTTCCCAGCGCCTCACAATGAACCTGCACAAGGTCGGGGCTCCTAGGGGTCACAGGCCACCCCCTTTTGTCCCGCACTTCAAAACACATAAACATTTATAAATCAAGAGCCAGCCACGGGCCCCCTGTTTAAAAAAAAAGAAAAAAAAAAGAAAGGGGGTGAGGGGGAAAAGAAGTGAGGGAGAAAAAAAGAAATAACTAGTGGCTGCAGATGCAAATTCCATCATTTGGACAGAGGTGGAAGTTTGTAAAAGTTGCAGCCTAATAGTGGAAGTTGGGGCTCTGTGCAGCAGACAGCCGGCGGATGGAAACACACGGCCAAGTAAGACTGGATTTGAACTTATTATTAAACTGTAGCCCGTCCATCTGTTTCACTCTTCTGTCGGATACGCGTTCAACATCTCTGGAATGGGATTTCTGTCGCACAGTGACATGTTTTTCTCCACACCTGAGGACTCAGAGGACTCAAAGGACAAAAAAAGGGGGGTACAACCGCCTGCCGATCTGACGAAATTGCATAAAATAATGTAGTCAGTGGCAGCGCATTATCATAGTGAATAGCATTAGTTTACATCAAAACACACGGAGGCTGCGGGATCGAAACGCCCTCCACATATGCACAGCTCTCCTCACACGGGAGTCCATGAGAACTAGTGCAAAAACTAGGCGACATCGAAAGGCTCTTCGTTTCTACGTGCATTTTACGAGTTATTTGTGGGCAAGAAAATCATCCAGCAGGCCTCCTCCATCAGCAGCTTGGTCACATGAAACGTACCTTACTTGTTTGAGAATTTACCTTAAAAAAAATAAAAAATGAGGGAAATAAAGAACTTAATTTTTACTGAAGATCAAATAACATTTATGACCGGGGAAAACAACCTCCATTCATGTCATTTGAAACGTCCGTGTGGGCATTAAAGCTCCCCAATAAGCATCGGTGTTAAGTCTTTTCGAGGAGCAGTGTAACGAAGTGGAAACCAAATCGAAACGAAAATGCATCTGTCTGTAGGAAAATGTGTCCATGCTGCTGCAGGCTCTGTGCTCTGCAGCAGTAAACGTTGTACTTGCATCAGTTTTTAGCAACGAGATGCTTTAATAACCGCAGCCTTTCCATCAGCCCCCCTTATTTTTTTTGCATCATGCATCAGGCCTCCCCCAGCCTCACACAGCCTAAATCATGTTGCTCTTTGTACTGTAATATTCTCCATAAAATGTACACAAAAGCTGGTCTGATATGTTGATCTATTTATTCGTCACTCATTTTATTGAGTATTTCATACTAGTAATTGGTGAAATAGTTTCATTGTAACACAGTCACAGTTAGTCCTCCTGTAATTAGTGTGTTTTAGATTTTTTCCCACAATTTTTGTTCAGTCACACAGAGTTTGATTTTTGATGAGTATTTTTTACTTTCATGTGTGTATGAATGTGTTGCTGATAGCTGTGAGGCAGCTACTTAGAATAGAAATAATATTGTTTTAACAAATTCTCATGTATCTTTTAGTTGTTTTTGAATTTCCTCACACTCTTGGTTGGTTTGGCTGGCGTAAAGCTGTCACTGTCATCCTCAAAATTCATGTTGAGAAGTTGGAAAAAAGTCATTTGTTTTGGTTTTCCTGGCTGAAATCAAAATATGCTTATTCTAATGTTACATAAGCAACACAGGTAAACATACCTGCAGTACCACATAAGGAAGAGGGGGCATACTGTGTGTTTCCACAGTTTGAGTAGAATATTTAATATATTTAATGAGTGGAATATTTGATGAACATGTTGCTTAAATAATGACAATTTCTTGCAGTTATGTCCAAATATAATTTACATCATGACTTTTTGCGTGTATTAACAATTGCCTACTGAACATTTGTATTGATATCTATTCTTCAAAACAATTAAATTCATTTAAAGATACAATGCATTCATTCTTTCTCTTGCTGTTTTTGTAACTGGCTGAAAATTTCTTTTTTGGACACAGAAATCAATTTCAATCATACATCAGTTAGTAAAAAATAATATAAAAAAACTCAGCATTGTTTGTGTTTCACTTCAAAGAGTAAACACAATTTTCCTTTACAACAAAGCATATGTCTGGTTGTCATGGGAACCGTGTGGATACTAAAATATCAATAACACTCATCAATAGGTTATTCATCGTATATGAAAGTAGTTTGTGAGGTTTTTTTGCCTCATTCCACCACAAATACGCAAACATATTTTCTGACATCTCTACATGATGAAGCCTCTTACATTTAATCAGTTTTTAGGCGTTTAATACGAATATAAAAGACTTCTCGTGTAATATAAAAAATGATTCTGTGTGTTACAATGTTATATGTGTCACCAGTCTTGACCTGCAATGAATACACTCCAGAATTAGAGAATAACCCAGTAGATCTCGTTTTGTTTCAGGACATGACCTCATTGCAAATTTCTTTTTTTTTTCAAACAAATCCTGACGGTAATGTGTGCCTGCTTACCCTGAGCAGGGACAGTACGCTCCCCAAGCTAACATCAAACACCAAACAGCAGTTGTTATTTCATGGTTGCGTGCAACCAGAACCAGGTCATCTGCACTGGGTTACAGGCCTGCTGGCTGTGTTTGCAGTGTCCTCCAAAGTGTGCATCTTCCCTGACCGACATTGTATAAAAATCATTCTATGATAGCTTTGCGTTAATTGCTGTTCAATTTACATAATTAATTTGACAATACCTGTAATTCCAGCAAAGAATATATCTGACAGGAGGTGTATAAAAAGAAATAGCTTCTTGAGAGGAAATTTTGTGTAGGCGGTTTGTAATTTGACTTTGTTTAGGTAGATTTAAAAGACAAAAAAAAGTTTCCTTGGAGAATGCTATTTATGATCACCTGAAGCCTTATTTTTCCTACTATCATACAGTTTCAACCACATATTATACAGAAGAAACCATGACCTGAATTCCTGTCCACTAAAAAACATGTTATCTAGAATAATGATATCGTGGATTAATGGCATCTCCAACTACATAAACATATATAACAGGGAACTGAATCCTGTCTGTAATTACTGAGATGGATACTTACTACTCACTGTCCTATGTGCCCTTGTAGTGTTTTGTGTGAGTGAAGCGGGGATGAGTGTGTGGGACCTTCCCCCTCTGACATTAGCAGGGGGTCAAATGTGCATGTAGGGCACCTGGCTCTCCACCTCCCCTCTCTCTGTGATGTTAAATGTCAACCAGCAGCATCCAGGGAAAGCAAGGTGAGCCTCCATTCTAATGCTTATGCCAGGAGATTATCACGTCTGACTCCTAAAGCCATGTTTCTCTTGTGTAGGGCAATTAAAGCTGCGAGAGAGGGGAAATTTACAGAATCATTAACCTAAGGTTTTCTTTTTAGTGAAGTAGATGGTCTAAGGGTTGGTGTGCTGGAAGGAAACCCCCCTGGCTTTAATAGAAACCAAAGAGGAGCGGCTCAATCTTGATTTGTTGCAGAAAGATGTGTATCAACAGCTCTACGTCTCTTTAAAAGTAGTAGTAGTAGTAATCGTAGTCGTAGTAGTAGTAGTAGTAGTAGTCGCATGCTCCTTGTGTAAACATAAACCAGTAATTGAATTAAACAAATGAATTAATTTTATCTGGACACAGGTGCTCTTAAAAGCATGCTTCTGAAAATCATTTTGCTCTAATAGCTTGTATCCCACGGTGGCCGCCTCACATCGCTCAGCCACGGTTATTTTTTAAAATAGATTCAATGGGAGTGATATGATCAGATCACTGATTTTACAAGGCACAGTGTGGATTAATATATAGTTCAATAACTGCATTGCCCGCTTATCCAATTGTCTCTCAGATTCCAGATACAGTTCAGCATTGGTGTCTCACCCGAG